TCCAAACGAATCCATTAGAATACACTATTGTTGGATGATGAAAGTCCCACATCGGTTAATTTAGGGAATGGTCATGGGTTTATAATCTAAGAATACACTCTCCATTGATATGAGGCCTTTTGGGAAGCCCAAAGCAAAACCATGAGAGCTTATGCTCAAAGTGGACAATATCATACCCATTGTGGAGAGTCGTGTTCGTCTAACATGGTATCAGAGTCATGCTCTAAACTTAGCCGTGCCAATAGATTGGCAAATCCTCAAATGTCGAACAAAGGACTCCAAAAAGGAGTCAAGCCTCCTTGAAGGTACGAAGGCAGTCAAAAATGACTAAGACTCCAAAGGAGTCAAGCCTCGATTAAGGGGAGGCGTGCTTTGTTCGAGGGGAGGTGTTGGATGATGAAAGTCCCACATCGGTTAATTTAGGGAATGGTCATGGGTTTATAATCTAAGAATACACTCTCCATTGGTATGAGGCCTTTGGGGAAGCCCAAAGCAAAGCCATGAGAGCTTATGCTCAAAGTGGACAATATCATACNATTGTGGAGAGTCGTGTTCGTCTAACATGGTATCAGAGCCATGCCCTAAACTTAGCCGTGCCAATAGATTGGCAAATCCTCAAATGTCGAACAAAGGACTCCAAAAAGGAGTCAAGCCTCCTTGAAGGTACGAAGGCAGTCAAAAATGACTAAGACTCCAAAGGAGTCAAGCCTCGATTAAGGGGAGGCGTGCTTTGTTCGAGAGGAGGTGTTGGATGATGAAAGTCCCACATCGGTTAATTTAGGGAATGGTCATGGGTTTATAATCTAAGAATACACTCTCCATTGATATGAGGCCTTTTGGGAAGCCCAAAGCAAAACCATGAGAGCTTATGCTCAAAGTGGACAATATCATACCCATTGTGGAGAGTCGTGTTCGTCTAACATATTAGATTTGCTCCAAGAAATACAGCAAAGCCGCTAGTTGAACGTCGATCATCGGGACAACCAGCCCAATCAGCATCAGAAAACCCCGACAACATCATGGTTGATTTCTGAATTTTCACTCCTAATGCTAGTGTGCCTTTAACATAACGAAGAATTCTCTTCACAGCACCCCAATGAGCATCAGTAGGTGTATGAAGATATTGACACACTTTATTGACAGCAAATGCCAAATCAGGCCTAGTCATTGTCAAATATTGTAGTGCTCCCACTGCTCCCACTGTACTTCTGTATTTGAATTGTTCTTCAGCTGATAAGGGTATTCCTTGTTCTCTGAATAATTTTTCAGCAGAACCCATTGGTGTAGACATAGGTTTGCATTTTTCCATGTTTACTCTTTTCAACAAATCTAAAGCATATCGTCTCTGTGACAGTATGATACCATCTCGTGTTTTCTTGACTTCAATACCCAGAAAATACTCAAGATCACCCAAATCTTTTACTGCAAAATCTATTTTCAATTTCTGAATCAACCTTTCGGTTGCTTGATCAGAGGAGCTCACAATAATTATATCATCAACATAGATGAGCATATAGATAGTTATCTCTCTGTTTTTGAGAATAAAAAGAGATGAATCAGCTACTGAAGCCTTGAAGCCTAACTCAATAAGTTTTCCAGTCAACCTTGAATGCCAAGCTTTTGGGGCTTGTTTCAGGCCATAAAGGGCTTTCTTGAGCTTGCATATGTAATTCTTTGGTTTGGCTGAGTCTTGAAATCCTGGTGGTTGTCGCATGTACACTTCCTCTTTCAGAATTCCATGCAAAAATGCATTTTGGATATCAACTTGTCTCATATTCCAGCCCTTGGTTACTGCTAGCGAAAGAATGACCCTGATTGTTGACGGTTTGATCACAGGGCTAAAAGTATCAGTGTAATCAACACCAAATCTTTGCTTGAATCCTTTGGCAACTAATCTTGCTTTTAATCTTTCAACTGACCCATCTGCTTTTCTTTTCACTTTATACACCCATTTACTATCAATGAGATTTATTCCAGGTTTGGGTGGAACTAGATCCCAAGTGGCATTTCGTTTTAGCGCTGAGAGCTCATCATTCATTGCTCCTCTCCATCTTGGATGTTGCATGGCTTCCTGCAGGTTTCGAGGTTCAGTAGCAGTCTCTATGATCGGAGTTGTGATAGTTACAGCGCTTGCGAATTTTCTTGAGGTTTCTGAATATCTGATAGTTCCATCAGTGAATTGTTTAGCTTGTACAATGTTATTTCTCAACCTTGTTCGCATTGGATGTTGACTAGCTGCTTCAGTTGGTTGATCAGACACATGTTCATGAGTTTGGTTTTGAGCATTGATCGAACTGCTCTCAGCTTCATATTCTGCAATTTCCTCTGAACTTCTTGTATTATCTGCAGAAGATAAGCTGACACCAGACAAGTTGTCACTAGCAATATTATCAGTTTGACCATCATTCATATGGGAATTACTAACAACTGGTTCAATATCTGTAAGAGCATTTTCAGTGTAAAAACTAGCAAGTTTGGCTAAGGCTGGAAGTAGAACAGGATGATGTGGATTTGTGGTTTTGTTTGGTGGCTTAGATTCTTCAAAAGGAAAAATATTTTCATCGAAAACCACGTCTCTAGAGATGTAAATACGTCCTGTACTTCTATTTAAGCATTTATATCCCTTATGAGAAGAACTATAACCCAAGAATATACATCTAGTAGTTCTGAAACTCAGTTTCTTGTTGTTGTAAGGCCTTAAATTAGGCCAGCAAGCACAGCCAAACACCCTAAGCATGGAGTAGTCTGGACTTTTACCAAACAATTTATGAAGTGGTGTGTCTTGTTGTATGGTTCGGCTGGGCATTCTATTTATAAGAAAGCAAGCTGTGTTGAAAGCTTCATCCCAGTAGGATAGAGGCATGTTGGCTTGAGCGAGTAAAGCAAGGCCAGTTTCTACAATGTGTCTGTGTTTTCTTTCGACTAACCCATTCTGCTGGTGTGTGTGAGGACAGGAGATATGATGTTCAATGCCTGTGGATTTGAAATAATTGTGTAACCGATGGTATTCACCCCCCCAATCTGATTGGACGGAGCGAATTTTGGTATTTAGCATAGTTTCAACATGTTTTTGAAATTGAAGGAACACAGACTCAACATCAGATTTGCATCTCAGAAAGTAAATCCAAACATAACGACTAAAATCATCAACAAAGGAAACATAATATTTGGAATTATTTACTGACGCAATGGATGGACCCCATACATCAGTGTGAATTAATTGAAGGGGTGCTGTAGATACATGCTGAGAAGAACCAAATGGCAATTGATGTGCTTTCCCTAATTGACAAGCATTACAAATTGAGGAAGAGGGAATATTAGTATCTATAGCTAAATTATTATCTTGTAGAATTCTAATGGTAATTGGAGATGCAGGGTGCCCTAGCCTTCTGTGCCATTGTTCTTTCGAAAGTTTGGCTGTCAGCAAGGCTTGACTGAAATTATGCGGTAGAACGTATAGGCCATTCTTACATCTACCGTGGAGCAGGAGTTTCTTCGTGACTCGGTCCTTAACCAAAAAATAGTTTGGGTGAAATTCTACAACAGCATTATTATCAGATGCTAGTCTTTGTACTGAAATTAGGTGCTTATTGATTTTAGGAGCATATAGGATATGTTTCAGAACAAGAGATGAACCAGAAATTAATGAATTCCCAATATGAGAGATAGACAAACCTGCGCCATTTGCAACCTGAATTTGGTCGGTGCCAGTGTAGCGTTCTCTGGTGGTAAGCCTCTCTAGGTCATTGGTGATATGATCTGTGGCTCCAGTGTCAACATACCAGTTTGTGTCACTAGTGTATCCACTAGTTGCCAAAGCTGCTTGTTTGAGATTATTTTCGGCTTGATATGCCTGATCAAATCTGTGCCAGCATTGCAAAGCATCGTGATTGGGCTTACCACAAATCTGACAGACAATGCCTGAGCTGCTTTGTGTCTTTGATGGTTGACGTCCAGGATTGTTCACAGTACGCCTTGATTGTCCATGACCACTATTTAACTGACGACTACGACCGCGACTACCTCGACCTCCATTGGCACCTCCACGAATGGATATCCTATTGACATTGTTAGCAGATGAAAGTTGCTCAAATGTACCCTTACGCAAGTGCCGCATCTCATAGCTCAGCATGTGAGCATACACGTCGCTGACAGTGTATACATCTGTTCTGGTTGTAATGCTTGTGACTAGAGGATCATAATCTGGACCAAGTCCTTGCAGCATGTAGGCGATGAGTTCTTCATCCTCTATTCGCTTGCCAATGGCAGCAAGTGTATCACCAAGATGTTTTACTTTACGAAAGTAGTCAGCAATTGTCATGTCCTTTTTCTGGATAGTAGAGAGTTCCATACGGATCTGCATTGCTCTTGCTCGAGATGTGGAAGCAAATTGTCGCTCCAGCGTAATCCAGGCTTCTCGTGCAGTGGTGATTCCAACCATCGTGCTGAGAACCTCCTCAGTGACTGATGAGTTGATGAGGCTGAGTACCAGCTGGTCCTGGGGGTACCAGACTGTGAACTCAGGGTTGATGATAATTTTGCGATTCCCTGTTTCTTCACTTGGTTCAACGGCGATCGTCTGGCTTGGTGCAGGCATGGATCCATCCACAAAACCAACAAGGTTTTGGCTACGCAAGTAGGGAAGGATTTGGGTAGACCACAGTAGATAATTTTCTTGTGTAAGCTTAACACTAATCACCTGACTGATCGACGGAGAAGACATTGTGTTGATTGGGATTGACATGTTTAACAGCAGAGGCTATGGATCTCGTGGATCTTATTTCTGCTCTGATACCATATCAAGTTTATGCAAAACTGTGCCTCACACTATTGAGGACATATTCTATTTATATTGGCAAAAGATTAACTAATAGATCCGATTTCATAGGAAACTAACGAAGTAAGCCTATTCTTATGGCATGACTAACTTCAAGCTATTCTAATGGATTGACCAATTCTAACACGAGATTCAGGGGATCGGTAAAATCCACGGCGGATTTATGAAAGCGCTTGGCTTACAGAAATCCTTCGGATGGCCCAAGGAAATAGACCCACAACAGCAAAGACGTCCTTTAGCTTACTACACCATCAGAGAGAAGCTAAGGGAAGTTGTCAAAGAAAATGAGCGAACAAGGTTTGTTGTGACTGGACATAGCCTGGGCGGTGCTCTGGCCATCCTGTTTTCTTTTATTTTGGCGTTCCACGAGGACAACTTACTGCTGGAAAGATTAGAAGGAGTATACACATTCGGACAACCTCGGGTGGGAGACGGGGAATTCGGAGAATTCATGATGAAATCACTGTCGCAATACAAGATTCGGTACTACAGATTTGTTTATGGGTTCGACATGGTCCCTCGGCTGCCCCTGGACGACAAGGCCTTGATGTTCAAACACTTTGGACGCTGTATTTATTTCGACTGGAACTATGTAGCGCAGGTAATTAGTTAAGCTTACATTTATTCATAGATAGATTGAAGAGAAACGTTTCTTATTTGTCGGTGGGGTTGGCAGATTCTGGAAGAAGAGCCATTCAAGAACTATTTCTCGATAGTAGGAGCGGTGCTGATGCGAATACATGCATGTTTTGAGATAGGAAGAAGCTTCACAATTGGGTGGAGAAGGGGAAAGGAGTACGAGGAAAGAGTTCTTTTAAGAATTGTGAGGCTGTTTGGATTACTATTGCCTGGAGTTCCTGCTCATTGTCCTCAAGATTACGTTAATTCAACTCGCTTGGGTTCCGCAGATCCTTTTCTGAACGAGTATGATGTCAAAATTCAGTAACTTGTTTAAAATTAAAATTAAAACTGTTGCGTTAGATGATATGTGTTCCACACTCTTTACCATGTGCTTTAAGCAATTCCAAGAGGGCTTGGGCCTCTTTTAGTTAGCTTCACGATTACAAGAATAAAAAAATTAAGAATAAAATAGTAATAAAAAAAATTAATTTAGATTTCCAATAGAATCTTCTAAACACAATTCCAAATTATTATAGAACTAATAAATTCCGAATTTGAAATAATAATTTCTCATACAAAATTGGAAAACCATAATTATCCAAATCTAATTAAATAATTATTGTTAATTATTCCTAATCAATAATCTTGTATCAAATTTTCAATTACATAATTTAGTAGGAGTATTCAATTTTTTAAACAATTACACTTAATTATTTAGAATCAATTAATTTATATTAACTCAAAACAACAATTCCTTTTTTATACCATAAATATTTTATTTTTTAATGCTCTAAATTATATAAGATTTTAAAAATTGTCATAAAATATTAAACCAAACAAAGTACTAAGTAGTATGAAAATATTAGGAAGAAAAATGTAGAAAGAGATTTTATTTTATTTTTCTTTTTGAGACAAATATGTTAGAGGAAAAAAAATTAAAGAAATTTTTAAAAACAAAAGTCTGTTTTATAAAACTATATATTTTTCAAATTGAAATTTGCTTATAATTCAAAAAATCCTTGAGGGTGGATGTAATTTCACAAATAAATGCGACGAGTCTATTTAGTGCATGAATAAATGTACGCAATAAATACAACCGATGACGTAATAAATTCAATTTACAATTAATTTTGAAAATATGACTAAGACCTTGACGTCTTCGACTTGTTAAAATTCTTGTTCTCCCGCAAGCTCCATGAAAGAAAATTTGTAGAATCCAGCCACCCCGCCGAGTTCAATTTCGCCCACAGACTTCTCATCATCATCTCCATCATCGTCCTGAAGCTCCTCCAATTGTTTGCCGCCCCACTCGCCTTGCTTGGCTTCGTCGTTGAGTTCAGCCTCAACTTTTTGTCGGCCAACGGCGGCGTTTTTGGCCTCCTCAATATCTTCCGATGTCACCCCCACTTCCACTTCCCTCCCATTTACTTAATTAATATTCTGTTTTAATAACCTTAAGGAAAACGAAATAACATTCAAATATATATGTGGTTTTATGCAGTGAGGTTGAAATTACCGGACAGCTCATCGGCGGATTACCAGTCAATAGTTGGTTGAAAGAACAGCGTTAGACCAAAGTATAAAGCCTGGGGATGCCAACTACAACGCTGCTCTCTGCATGATGGCTTCTAAACTAGTCTATGAGAATGAAGCTCGCGTTACGAATAAGTTTTATGTTTCTTAAATTATTATGTTATGTTCAAGTGTTTGTGTGTTGGTATTTTTGTTGGTTTGTTCTTGGAAGTTAATTGTTTGCACATCTCTAAGGAATAATAATTCTACAATCTTAAAAAAAGTTCGACCATAGTAAATAGTAGAATTTCAGAAGATATATATATAAAAAACAGAATAGTAAATAATGACAAAGATGTGATTAAAAAAAAAAGGGATATATTGAAGACTTATGATATCTCATATACACATAAAGAACTTATGACCAGAGATGGAAGGATTCAGAAAAAAAAAGAAAAATGAAGTCTGTGGATCCGGGTCGCATTCGGTTCGGATACCCGAGTGACAACCCTACCTCCAGTAACCCAATTTCCCCGAGGCCCAAATAAGTTGCGGCCCAAGTCCAGAACCCACTTGAAGTTCGACCCGGAAACTCATAACAAACGGCCCAAGACCGCGCCGCAACCTCGACCCAGAACGCCGCCCGAACACAAGGCTCCTCCCCACCCACCACCCCCCCGTGACACGTGTCGCTCATACAGATACGTGACTCTTTCAGCTTACGCGGCGTCATCGGCTCTGACTACGGCTTGGCGAGTCGGCTTCTCGGCTTAGCAACTTAGTATACATATAATACCTCTTTTCCTAGGTTTTGTTTGCTTTGAAGCCAATTTAGACCTTATTTAAGGCAAATAAGGTAAAGTAGAGCACCCAACCTCCCATTAAGTGTTAAATATGTAAACGTTTGAAAAAAAAAAAATACAAAAACTTTAAAGGTGTTTATAATTGACTTTTTCACTCTGTTCGTCACTCTTGTCATATGATCTTGCTTTTGCATGTAAATCATTTTAAAAATATAGTGAAATACTTACTAAGATACCCCTAATTAAGTGTTAAATATGTAAACGTTTATATAGATATCATAACTATAATTGAGGGACCTTACTAGATAGCTATTAGAACATATTGAAGTTAACTTTTCCACAAAATGTTTTCATTATCCAAGATAACCATGGAAGTAATTACAATTAACCAATGTCAACCAGCTATCATCACATCCATGTGATTATCAACACATAGTTATCACCGCCCGAACGTGACTACGGTAATAATAGCAAAATAATCAACACTACCACCCATTAGTCGTGAATAAAATAAAATAAGCCCCAAAATATTTTATAAATCATGTCCATAATATATCACAATTCACTATATAAGTGCATACATGTCCAATTCAAAAAAAAGAACATTTAGATCCAAAGGGAAGGTGACCTTATCGATTCTCTTTCCAACCCAAGTTACAACTATTAAATCCAATCTTTAATAAAATTCACCGACAATAAAACCCTTTAGAATTAAATAAAGAGTTTAGAGATTTAGCATGTGGTTTAAGTAATTAAAAGGGTGGGCCTTCGTTAATTCTAAAAAGGTTTATGCCTTTATTAATTCGCTCCCACTTTTTAATAAGAGCCATATTCTAAAGAAATTTAGTGATAAAAACTAAGTTCTAAAACTAATAAATTTAAATTTTAAATACGAAATTTCAAAAACATAATTACCTAAATATAAGCCTATTAAATCTAGGACCACTTCAATTCTATCAATTTTATTTTAATTTTACAAAATTATTTTTTTAAAAAAATTAGAGCGTTACAACCCACCTTCAAAATTAGGGAATTAATTAGCCTCAAGCATAATCAATTTTGCACTGTCAAGTTTAATATAATTGTAGTTAATAATTTTAGGAGGAGTATTCATTTCCTAAATAATTATAGTTAGTTACTCAAAATCAACAAACTTCTATCAAATTTTCAATTACATAATTTAGTAGGAGTATTCAATTTTTAAATAATTACATTTAATTATTTAATTCAATTAATAATTAATTATTTAGAATCAATTAATTTATATTAAATCAAGACAACAAATCGTGTTTTTCTACCCTAAATCACCCTTCTCCAGTTCCTTCGTGGAAAATACTTTATTCGTCTGAAATTATTTTTAATGCCTCAAAATTATATAAGATTTTAAAATTTGTCATAAAATATTAAACCAAATAGAGTATTATGTAATATGAAAATATTAGGAAGAAAAAAGTAGAAAATTATTTTATTTTATTTTTCTTTTTGAGACCAAAAGTCTGTTTTATAAAACTATATATTTTTCAAATTGAAATTTATTTATAATTCAAAAAACCCTTGAGGGTGGATGACAACCTTTCATTTTAATTCAAACGTGTATTCAACAAAATAATTTCACAAATAAATGCGACGAGTCTATTTAGTGCATGAATAAATGTACGCAATAAATACAACCGATGACGTAATAAATTCATTTTACAATTTACAATTTACAATTAATTTTGAAAATATGACCAACATAACCACCTTCGTTCTTAATATTGGTTATTAGAATAATTAATTGTTTATTTAATTAAATTAATAATTCAATAATTTAAGTTGTTGTGTCATTCTAAAAACGCTAGAGGCAGTGAGTCTAAACCCTCGTTTAATACAGATTTACACCGTACATACGTACTAGTAAGAATATTTGTTGAAACCATCCCACTAGGAAAGTTCTCTATTTAAAATCATTTAGAGAATCAAATAAATTACAAGGATAAGAAAGAACAACAAATGTATACGAGGCAAATATATAAATATTTGCGTATAATAAAATATCAAATATGATATATATGGTAAGTTATAATTCATGACTAAATATCTTTAACAGCCCCACAAGTTGAGATTTGGATTTGAGCGAACGTGAAGCCTGGATCTGAAAAATTTAAAGAGAGATCGAGAAACATTTTTTGTGAAGATGTCAACCTGTTTTGGAAAAGATGTCTAGTTGGGTATAACAGTGTTTTCTTGATCATCAAAATGAAACTAAAGAGTATGTAAGCAGAAAAATAGATAGAAATTGATGAGTCAAACGAAAAGTCAATAAACAAGATGCCGATTAATAAAGAGTAGGATTAGAAAAAAGAGAACTATCAGCAATGAGGGGTTGAGAAACAACCATGAGTTGTGGATTATAGAGACCTAAGGTAGAGGGTTCAGAATTAGGGCAATGACTCTATTTCGAGAAAATGGCGAGAGAGAGGAAGAAGAGAGTAGAAACTCAAAATGTGGACTCTATGGTCTATTTTAGACAAAGAAAGAAAGAGAGGGGCAAAGAATGGAGTCTGCGCATTGTAGACTAGTTTGATATCAAACGAATGAGCACGAGTAAGAATATCTCGAGCATATTTTAACGGACGAATAAAAAGACCCTTAAGAGTGGGTGAAGAGCCACAATGATAGATCAATCTAGAGACATTGATTCTTTTCAGAGCACTATTATTACGAGGAATTGAAGTCGACCATAGAACAGTAAGCGGAGGAGCCAGTGAAATTTCAATGGAAAGAGAGGGAGCCACAACCTTGAAAGAAGAGGGACGAATAAATAATGAAATGTGATAGGTAGATATATACCTATAATAAAAAATTAGTGTGTTATATACGGTAAAGTATAATTCAGCACTACTATTTATATTACCTTGACAACATCAAGTCCCCTCATCAAGACATCCTCGCTACATCTTGATTTCCCGCCATGGCTGCTGTTGTTGATGATATCTGCAACAAGGCCTTCTCCAAAAGCTTCATGCTTTTCAAGCCCCAAGACCTTGACGTCTTCGACTTGTTAAAATTCTTGTTCTCCCCCAAGATCCATGAAAGAAAATTCGTAGAATCCAGCCACCCCGCCGAGTTCAATTTCGCCCACAGACTTCTCATCATCATCTCCATCATCGTCCTGAAGCTCCTCCAATTGTTTGCCGCCCCACTCGCCTTCCTTGGCTTCGTCGTTGAGTTCAGCCTCAACTTTTTGTCGGCCAACGGCGGCGTTTTTGGCCTCCTCAATATCTTCCGATGTCACCCCCACTTCCACTTCCCTCCCATTTACTTAATTAATATTCTGTTTTAATAACCTTAAGGAAAAGGAAATAACATTCAAATATATATGTGGTTTTATGCAGTGAGGTTGAAATTACCGGACAGCTCATCGGCGGATTACCAGTCAATAATTGGTTATATGGATGAAAGAACAACGTTAGACCAAAGTATAAAGCCTGGGGATGCCAACTACAACGCTGCTCTCTGCATGATGGCTTCTAAACTAGTCTATGAGAATGAAGCTCGCGTTACAAAGATCGTGAAGGATGTTTGGAAGGTACATAAACCATAATTAGGAGGTTGATCATAAATTTATAAATAAAGAATAGGAGGCCTTTTTCTAAAAATAAAAAATAAGTCACGAGAACTTATGTTGAAAGTGAAGAATATTATAAAATTGTGGAAGTCCGTGGTTTGCCACACCCTCTTAGTTGAGTCTCTCAAATATTTTCTTGTTATCATGCAGATGGAATTTTTGGGATTTTTCAACTTTTGGAATGGTAACACCATATTCATTTTCAATTTGCTACTCCTGCATGTATTATTGTATGTGCATAAATAAATAATAAATGATGTTTTTGAATTTGTACTAGAATATCAAAAGAAACGGTCGACACAAGCATGCATGTTTCGGGATAAGAATCCTGTTTGTGACACCTTCGTGGTGACATTTAGAGGCACATCGCCCTTCAGTGCTTACGACTGGATGACCGACATGGAACTGTCTTGGTACGAGATGGAAGGCGTTGGAAAAGTCCATGCCGGGTTTATGAAAGCACTGGGCTTACAAAAATCCGTTGGATGGCCCAAGGAAGTAGACGGAAAAGATAAAAACCAGCCTTTGGCTTATTACACCCTCAGAAAAAAGCTGACTAAACTTCTCAAAGAAAATGAGAACGCCAAGTTCGTGGTAACTGGACACAGCCTAGGCGGCGCTTTGGCCGCACTATTTCCCTTTATTTTGGTGTTCCATGAGGAAAAGTTCCTGCTACAAAGATTAGAGGGAGTGTACACATATGGACAACCTCGGGTTGGAGACCCCAAATTTGGAGAGTTTATGGTCAAAGCATTCTCGCAATACAAGATTGGATACCACAGATTCGTGTATGGGTTTGACATGGTCCCTCGGCTACCCCTGGATGACAAGGCCTTTATGTTCAAACACTACGGATCCTGTATTTATTTCGACATCTTCTATAAAGCCAAGGTAATTCATTAATCAATTAATAAATTAATTGTTTACAATCCAATCTAGATTCAAAAAATAAAAAATGGTTTTTGGTGGGGTTTCCAGATTCTTGAAGAAGAGCCATTCAAGAACTATTTCTCGATAGTGGGAGCGGTGATGATGCGAACTCGTGCATTCATGGAGTTGGGAAGAAGCTTAGTAATTGTATGGATAAAGGGAAGGGAGTACAAGGAAGGAGTGCCTTTGAGAATGATGAGGATGTTTGGATTGTTGGTGCCTGGAGTTAATGCTCATTGCCCTCAAGATTATGTCAACTCAACTCGCTTGGGTACCAAAGGCTTCCTGGTTTCTCCTCCCTAAACCCCAGTAGGAGGGTGTGAAGACTGAATGGGTTCCTTCTCATAAATGAAACGGAAATATGATAAGTGTTCTGTTAAATAATAAGTGTGATGAACTGAATATGATTCCAACAAGTGTAACCGAATAAGGAGCCCTACTTGGGTACATAGTAAGTCTTTATGTTTCTTAAATTATTATGTTATGTTCAAGTGTTCGTGTGTTGTTGCTATTCATGTTTCAAAACACATTTCAACGTTCCATTTTGTTGGTTTGTTCTTGGAAGTTGTGGTTTCAATTGTTTGCACATCTCTAAGGAATACTAAATTAAAGAACTTCCACAATAATCTATTATGTGCTACGTTTTCAAGAGAATTGTAAAAAATTACAAAGATGTAATTAAAAAAAAAAAAAAAAAACTTATGATATCTCATACATACTTATTATACTTATTATGATGATGTATTCGAGAATATTTGCTAAAATTACTATATGTCTAAATAGTGGTGAAAGTTCTAGATTTATAATAGTCGAGAGAATCAAATAAATTACTGATTATATGGAAATAACAATAAATGAAAAGAATAATACATGAATAGAAGATACATTCCTTTAATAAAAAGTAAATATAATAAAAACAAATATCTAGAAATTTGATGGTAATAAAGGATCAAATAATACTCCAAAAATTCTCGTCATATATATGGTAAACATCTATCCTTAATAGTCTATTTTACAAGATGCACTCCGGAGAGGATTCTTTGTTTATACTGGGAATGGGAATGGGAATGAGATTAGAGATTCCATCCAGAGATATCTATATTTTTCATTTTTAGGTCCTTTGTTACATATTTTTGATTGTGGATCATATTCAAAAGTAGATGCCAGAAGCCAGCTCTAATTTATTGTTCCAAAACAAGTAATGATGAAAAAACCAACCAAGTTACGAAGCTAAGCTAGTCTGTAAATTTGTAAAGACAGACCACAAAAGCTTCAGATGCTACCTGGAGAAATCAGGAAGCATGGCAGATGAACCAACGCTTGAGGAAACCAATCCACACGTGGTTGTGGAAGGGGAGGAAGTTGTTTGTGTTGCGAGCTCTCTGGTTTCCATCGCATTCTGATGAGTTCCTCATTCTGTGTGCTTTCATCTGTGCCTTCCCCAGCTTCTTCAGTATCTTATCCATTGATGATGATCTCGCCCTTTCAAGTTTCATCTGAATCAACATCCCTCATCATCATTGATTCAATTCCAATGAAATTTTGTAAAGGATTCTTTTCCCACAACAAAACAGAGTGAAAGATGCAGATTTTGGTGCTAAAACTAAAACAGACCCTAACCTCCAGTTTGCGTATTGCAGCCTCAGCTTTCGCCTTCTGCAAATTCTCCCATGCTCTTATCTTGCTTTCTTCTCTCTGCAACCTAAACATTACAATTCCACTTACATTCCAATAAAATAAACTCCACTTCAAAACATGTTGTAAACAACACCTACTTGGAAACCTGAATAGCTCCCGTAGCATTTTCATTCATGTTTCCAAGGTGTGGGAAGTCCTCCCCTTTGGATCTCTGCATCTCCGTGGCTCCCCTGTCTACCTCAACAACTCTCACTTCTTGTTTACAACAATGCTCCCTCTCTTTTCCAACCATACATTGGTGTATTGAAGGGGATGAAGAGGGAAGTGAGGCATTCCCCTGAGGAGATGAAGGTGTGGAATCTTCACCACCGCTCATTTGGGTTGCCACATTCCGTCGTGTAACGACGCCCGAATCCATTGTCTCCTCGGAACCATCATGTTTTTCATCTGTGGTTAGGTTATGATAACAGGGCCACAAAGAACATCTTAAGAACCACCAATCTCCAACTCAAAACAACTGTATGAATTAACAGGGAGAAGAAAGAGATACCTTGAAAGCTTGGCAGTGGCGAGTTGTTCAGTAAATTTGACCATCTGGGTGCGGAAATTAATGGTTGGATGGTACACTCTGGATAAGATTGTCCCCTTTCAATGCTACCGCCATAGCAGATAGAAATCCCATCAGCCACCAACACGCCAGTGGAAAGAGCAGAGCCCAGTTTGGAGGTGGCAAAACCCCTATTCTCGGGGGGTGTCATAATACAAACTTCTGACGATCCCTTTGGTCTTCTCTGTAGGTGAGACTGAAAACTCCTGCTGAAGCCACTGCCCATAACAGGGCTACTAATCCATCGCTCAGCATCCTCCCATTTGGAGGGCGGCGTCCTACCGTAAAAGGGTGAGAAGGCAACGACAGAGGCATTCCTCCGCCGGGTGTTGCTATTAGGATGAGGTATTCGCTCGGAGCTACAACCCCTTTGGTTCATTACATTGATTTCCCAGTAATTTGAAACACCAGGACTTGGAAACGCACTGAAATTGTAGGAAGAACTGCAAATTCTTTCCTTCATCGTGAACAGTACAACACGGTAACAGTAAAGAGTAACAAGGGTCTCTACGTCTCTATCGATAGAATTCCGCTTTCAACACTATTCTTCCGTCCATTTTTGTGGAAGATACCTGCGGTGTGGGGGGTATCTGGAAACTTCGTTCTCTTTCCTTCGTTTCCTTGGGTTGCTATAAATTGGAGTGAATTAGCAGGAAGGAAGGAAGGACACGGCCACATTCGGAATCACATCAGATTCATTAGAAACTAGTTTGCCTGAAAGTGGAGGAACTTGGCATCCAGAATGATGGGAATCCTGAAAAGCACTTCAACCAATTCGGAGTTAACTTTTTCTTGGCTTGTCGTACATCTATGCCTGACGGATTGATGGATGAATGGTGCCAAAGCTTTGGGTAAGTTGAAGAGATGGGTACATTTCCAACGTTTAGTTTCAATCAACACTTTGTTTTATAGCAATTTTGTGTTAGTTTACGGTTTTAAGAAGATAAAGTTGATTTCTTTTTTCTTTTGTGTGGGGGGTAATCTAAAAAAAAAAGTGGAAAAGATTGAATTGATGGAGAGAGAGATTTGTTTTTTGTTCTCTGCCTCCGCCAATGCTTTCGGTGCAAATAAAAAAGAAATGAATTATTAGAACAGTAAAAAGGGGGTTCAAATATGGGCTTCTTTCATTGCCTGCCCTCACATGCCATTTCTTCTTTTTAATTTTTGTTTTGTTTTTTTTAAGGAATCTTACAAAGTACACATTTTTAATTTAGTTGCAAGTGGGATTAAATAGTGCCTACCATTCAGAAGTAATTTTGTGTTTGACTTGTTTCTTATTAGTTTTGGCAGTTTACCATACTTGTTAACAAGTTATTAAGATAAATAAGTGTTGTTATTTCCATGTGCAAATAAAGACAAAGTAAAAGAGGCCGAGAGTTGACATGACCTCAACATATATTATCATCAATCTCCATCAATGATGGTGTTTTTGAGTACCTAAATATGGTGGAGTACTCGTATGAGTCAACAAAAAGCTCAACTTTAATAATCCACCCTCATTGATGGCCTAGCGTCTTCATTGGCATACTGTTCTAACAACTCAAGTCCGCGGTATATCGGTCTTACAACTTTTGAATTTGCTTGGTATAAAAATGAATGCCGGTTGGTAGGCTATTTGTAGGAAATAAATAAAGGAGTGTGTGTCGAGAGAGGAGGTGCATGTAAGTGTGAGAAGGTGATAGAAAGGGGTGCATCCCTTTGGCCTTGGGACATGTGCAATGTCTATTCCCTGTTCTCTATAACAAACAAAAATCATATGACTTCAATTATTGTTTCAGTTTTTAGTTACTTTAAAGTTTAAAGTTTTCTTTTTTTGTTCAATCATTTGTATTACCCATTCAACCCAACCCCCTGTCCTATCATCTCTATGATTTTGCATTAAAGTAAACGGATTAAATAACAAGACCAGGGACTTCATATCTAATCTTTTCTTCTTCTTTTTTATAAAGTTTGTTGTCGTTTCCTGTACCTTCCTTCAGGAGTGATACCAAGGATTTGAAGCTAAATGAATATGAACACCATGACACCAGGCCATGTTACTTGGAGCCGACCTAACAAGACAAACTTGATCTGGGTCAGAAGAGTATGTTAGAGCCCAGCATCAGAGGCCCATTTGGCCCATACCATCTCACTCCCCATCATTTTTCTATGCGTCTTCCTCTACTGCATTTAATACAATAAAATGATATCCCCAACTATTTCAAATCGCTTTTCCAATGCCTTCCAACCTTATCTACTTTATTTATTAGAACCCACGTGCGTAAAATATTAAACACTCTGTTTAACCTTATAATCTGTCATGGTCGTTTGGTTGCATGGAATGTCATGGTCGTTTGGGTGTCCCACGCTCCCGCCTCTCCCAGAATCCCCCTTTCGTTCATTTTTCCTTTCCATGCTTCTATTTCTGTGATTCCAATTGGATTGGAGTGAGACCCAATTCTTAAAAACAAGAAAAAACATACATACATACATACATACATACATGAACGGATCCTTTTTCCATTAGTGTACTATGGTTTATACACATATATAAATAAATATAAAATAGTAATGACCGTGGGTGTGAAACAAATTTTAAACCCAAGACCTTGAAATTTTAAAAAGAGGCAAAATGAGGAATCTTGGCAGCTGGGGGATTGGGATGCCCCTACTACTATCACCCACTAACCGACTCTGCCAGTTTCCCGATTCTTTCCACCAGCTATGGAGACAGCTTCTTTGCCGGTTTTCGTTCCTTTTCGGGTCGATGATCGAACCCCAGAGCGTACGACACTTCTTCAGAGCTCCATCCCGCTTTTCGGAGAAGCTCCGAAAACCCATCCGTTTTTACAAGTAGAGCGTCTAGAACCGCCTGGTTGTCCACTATAACCATCGCTCCTTGGAAGAATCCGGAGGCTGACACCTGTACCATCTCTGAAATGTCCGTTTCGCTCCATCCCCCTTCTCTCAGTCTCGATCCTATTTCTTCAATGTAGTCCTTTACCCATTTCGGAATTCCCGATCTCGGCATCTCGAATACCCTATCCGACGATGAACACGCCGACGACAACAAGTTTCTCCGCCGCCGATCAACGGCGGCGTCGCTCCAGAACTCCACCCACCTTGGCGTTCTTGCTTCGGTGTCCAGGCTCCGTCGCGAGAAGTTAGAGGAGCCGGCCGATTTTTCAGTGATGGACCTTTGCTTTTTGAGAAAGTGGGCATCAGATTCGAAGCTCCGAATAAGAAATTCCCGCTGGAAGAAATCGGATAGGTCCAGACCGCAAAAGGAGATCCGATTCTCATCGACGGAGAAGATTGGGTTCCCCGCCAGAGATGGCTTGCAGGGAATGTAGCAATGACTGAAGAGGGGAATCAAAAGAGGCGCTCTCTTCAGAGCATTTCTCGCAACCCGTAGTGCCTTTTCCGGGTCTAAGGGCCTCGGACCCCATGACTTGGACCAGAACGTATTCTTCGCGATTTGGAAACTGATGGCCGCAATTGGAAAATCGAGCGTCGCTCTTAGATGCTGCCTGGCGCCGGAAGCTCGCCAATCGGGGAAGCCAGGACCCACCGGCAAACCGGCGGACAGTACGTCTCGGAGATCCGGAGGGAAAACGAAGCCAAACTCGGCCTCGGCTCGAGCGAACTCGGCGACAGAGAGGCCCGGTTGCACCTGGACGCCGGTGTTGCGCATATGGGTGATGACCTTCTCAGCCAGAGAAGAGAAGGAGAGAAGTCCGGCGCGTGCAGGGTGAGAAGGAGTAACGGCAGCAGCACGGGCGGAGAGGCGTCGGAGTCCGGCAATATGTGCCGGATTGAGACCGGCCATCCTTCTGTCAACATCCACCATTGAATGGAGCAGTAAGAAGAAGAAGAAGAAGAAGATGGGGAGAAACAGAAGGTGAGGTACTTATAGAGGTCGAGGGCGGAGAGAAGAGATGTGTAGTGTGGGTGTTAAATGTTAATGGTGTGGACCCCACATCAGATTTTAAGACACTGCTTTCTTTTTCTGCACTGATTTAATCATATTTACCTCATAAAAAAAAATAAAAAAAAATAGAAGCAAAAGGAAATCAGTTGTACCGTTGAACGTGATACACAACTGAAAACAACAAGAAACATGTGATTGGCACGTGAAGTGGTGTTTCCCCAATTATGTCATTTTCACACATTACAATAACATGTATTTGTTTGGTAAACAAAATGGTTACGCTCTCCAAAACAATATCTAAAACTTAGGGTTGCCATCAAAAGAAAGCGTATAAATTGTTTTTCAATTTTTAATATTGTTTTCGTCATTAAATTTATATTCATTTTTAATATCACTGCTCAATTATAGAAAATAGGGATTTGAATTCTTCATCCTCCTACAAACTTTCTAATAATTTGTTTCAAGTTGTTATTAAAAAATTATATCCTCTTTTATGATTTGCTAAGCAACTTATTTCGCAATTATTTTTCATAGGTAGATGTCTTGGCATCGTGCATGAAATGATACCGAAACAACATCTTTTTCGTTGCTTAAAACTTTAATTGAATTGAATTAGAATGTAAGTAAGAGGGGTATGATGGTAGGCAACTTGAATAATAATAATAATAATAATAAATTCATCCATTATTATGGTACATTTATACCTCCATAAACATGTTGTTGGTGGTGATGGGTTACCAAATCCTTGGTATTCTTGTTGTTGCCAAAATGGAGTTTTTAATTCTTCAAGATAATTACACAGAGTGTATGTTACAAACCCATTGTCTTTATTATATTTATGAGCATGAACCAAGAGTAGTTTGATAATTATTCAAAAACTATTTGAAGTAGGTGGGCAATAATAGAGTTCAGTTTGGTGTGATCGTGTATAGAGTGGGTTGAATTCATTGAGCTGCTTCGATTTTCAGCAGGGACAGGCGTGATTGTGAAAGTGAGATGGGAATGTGTGTGTGTGTTGAAAATGTTAAGAAAATTACTCCAAAACTGAGTGGAAGGGGGGATGGAAGGAACATTCCATGCAGAAGAGAGTTTCAAGGCTTCAAAGGGGAACTGACAGCAAAGGTACCAATTCAAGCACCCCAAATGGTTTTGGTTAGCCTTTCAAAAACATGCTGTTTAAGCGTACTATCATCATCAGCATCAGCACCTCTCCTTTGTTCCTTCCAACCATGGAAACCGTGTTCGAAACCGTCAAAGTCTACCGCTACTAGATATGGACCCTTTTCACATTTTCCTTTTTTATTTGCATTTTGGAAGGAAATAAAAAGGATGAAATAAACTTGGGAAAAAAGGCAGAACGGCGACAGGTCAGCATGACGAGGTCCAACCAAAGTTGAAGTCTTTACCCCTGGCCTACCACCAACCCCAACCCGGAGCTCCCTATATTCCCCTTTTAGTCCACTCCCTTAAGAAATCCCCATTCCAATTGCTCTCTCCGGCGAGGTCTCCGGACCCCCGGCAGTGCAAACATGTCGGATACTGACGATCTCCGCTCACCGCCTCCGGCCTTGGCACGGCCTTTCCCACTCTACAAGCACTTGTCTTGGTCGCCGGATGCGGACCGTGAGGAGGCCTGGCTCCGCCGCAAAACCCAAAGCAAGATTCGGCGGAGCAAGAGCGTGACCGACGACGACTTCGAAGAACTCAAAGCCTGCGTTGAGTTGGGGTTCGGATTCAACTCTCCGGAGGTGGACCCTCGACTCTGTGAAACTTTCCCGGCGTTGGGTTTTTACCACGCAGTCAACAAGCACTACTATCGCACTCTCTCGAACTCGTCGGAGTCTCTCTGTTCTTCCCCTGTTTCGGACTCTCTTTCTCCCTCTGCCCAGAGTAGCCCCGCCGCCATAATCAGCCTCGGTATGTTACCTTCTTTACAACCCTTGAAATTGAATAGTGAAAATTGTAAGAATCCAACG